ACGCTTCGTCGCGCGATTCCATCGAAGATTCGAAATGGAAAATCGTGAGGGAAGGGAACGGGAAGAATTGGTGAAGAAAATTGTTTGTATCGCGCCGCTGCTTGGAAACCTATGTTGTAGATAGTCTCGTCGAGGAACGTAAACAATCAGAATTGCGGAGAAGCGAGCTCCACTCGCTTCGCGTTGCTCACTTTCCAAATAAATTTACGAACCAGTTCAGGATGAAAATACCAGTGTTTTGTAATTTGGTTAATCCCATTTATTTCGTGGTTCCTCGACGCAGACAAATCCACAGGCGAATAACAAAGGTTAATGTTGATGCTGATAAACAAAAAAATGAATGTTGAGCTTTTTCCGAGATATACTTTCGCTTACGTAAAATAGACGTAAAGTAGAATTATGAAACGCTAGAGGAGAGTACAAGTGAAATTTTAATTCCTCGAAATTATAGTCGTGCCGCGGCTGCGCTTTCCGCAAAAATAATCCGCCTAATCTCATGCCCTTTGCCTTCCTCCCACTTGCCTTCTCCTCTTCCAGCATTAAAATTCTCCACCGGCGGAGTTCCAGTTTAACGAGTACCTACCTGTCCTTCATTAACGTATCTCACTTTCTATTCCGTAAATGTTTTCGCCATCCTAACGAGTATTACTCGGCCCCTGGTTGGGGGAAGTTTTGCAATAAACATGCGCCAGTGGCGCACAAGGCGCAAGGCAGGGACCGTAAATTTTCGACAGTTTTAAAGGCAAATGTAGCTAAGAGCGGACGTAGCCAGGTAAGCGTCAGAGTGCATACCTCTCCCGCTTCGGTCGTCAACGCCCTCCGTGCACCGTGGGAGCCGTGTCGGAGAAAGGGAGCGGAAACGACGTACTTTGACCCGTCGCAGAGTTCGAAGTTCTCTCCATAACACCGCCGTATGGAAGAGCATGCTTGCTTTATGGAAAGAGTACTAAAGGTTAGACCAGGGTGGTCTCGAGTGCGGCAGCTCGTCAGCCGTAAAGCTTTCCCGAATCTCGTAAGCGCGGCTCATGTCGATTAGGAGATCGTATCGAGTCTCCTGTGCTAAATTAAAACGAGATCTTCGGCGAAACGTCAAATATAATTCGGTTATAAGTTTCTCGGTTCTTCCCTACAATATTTGCCTCTTACTAGTTTATAAATACAAATATATGTATAATATATTCTTTTTGCACTATATAATAAAAATAGCGTTTAATTCCATTACATTCTGTCCACAACTCCACAAAATAATAGCTATTTGTGGACTTGTTGCAGTAACTTCTCGATTGATATTCTGGGTATGTATCCAAAGCGTAGCGCAGGGATTTTTTACAGAATATTATTTTAAACAGAGTTATTTGGCTCTAATTTGAAAAAAATCGAAATTACAGTTGTAAATAACGACATCGAAATGGATGAAGCAAAAAATAATTACGCATCGCTGCGCGGATCAACGTTGTTTTCGATCCTCATTCGATCGCGCGTGCAGTCAAGAGCCGCATTATAATCGCAAATACGCGCCATTGATAAAATTTAATTAATTGATCGCTCCGACGGCGCCGCCGTGTCAATATATTTTAATTAACATTGCCCTTTAATTGAACATGTAGACGTCGAAAATTTGTGACGCGCGTAAAACTCTCTTCGCCAAAGCAGCGGAAAGCGCACGGAAGGTCGACAATTATTTCCGATCGGTTGGGCCGCAGACGGATGCGATTGGCATCATTGGTATTGCGGGGGCCCGGCCGTAAGAGAACACCGGCCGAAGTGGGGATAGGGAGGGATAGGGAGGCTTTCGCAAATTTGAATTCGAATCTACGAGCCAAAGAGCCCGTCGACGAGTGAAGTGCTCGGTACATTCCACCCTCGAACGTATGGATAGCGTAGGAAGAGTGCGAGAGGCAGAGGTGGAGGTGGAGAAAGGGATGAGGGGGATGAGTCGAAATCCACTTCGACGGTAATTGCATGTTCGGAGTTATCGCGAATCTACTGCTGCCGCCGTGCGCGATAGAGGGTCCGGTTCGAGGATTCCCGCTTTCGACATGCGTTTTGCGTTATTGATCGATCGGTCGGATGACGCGCGCCGCGCCGCGCCGCGCCGTGCCGCGCCGGCACCTTCTTGCGAGCGAACGAGATAACTCCTGAGTAATTAGCAAAATTACGGGGGACGTGATTCGAACAGTCGATCGGGGATTTGCCGCGCGAGACGGACGCGGCCGTTGTAAGCACGGACGGAAATAAAACGCAGAGTCACTTGAAAACGATATAATATTTTTAAATCGCATTTTATTAAAGCAAAATTGGCATTCGCATAAAAATTCTTATAACTGGATCAAATCTATCGTTAACAGGAAAAAGCAGAAAAATTGTGAAAAAACCCGTGGAAGCAAAAACTTGCATTTTATTTCTGTTTTTATTATTTTCATTATTGACAACAGTCGTTAGAGTTCCTGAGCAACTATTCAGATCTTGATATCTGGAAAACAAAGTGATAATTCCGTGCTACGTTAACGGCGCGCCGCGGTGAAAACGTGGTTTGAGACAACTGTTTCCACGATTCACGCGCTTTCTTTTTTTCATCCTGGAGCAAAATCCTTGGGATTTAGCCGCGAATTGTCACCGCGACTGGTTGGTGGTGTAGCTATCGCGACGCCACGATCTCGCTGAAGAGAGATAGCGGTTAGAGGACTTCTTCTTGCTCGAACAAGCCGCGCGATCTTCGCCGCGGGAGCTCCCAAGCGAGTTCGATGCACGGCACATCGTTGATCCTGCGAAATCCACGGAAGGAGATCCCACGGAGCCCATAACTTTTACCCTCTCGAATTGCTCTTCCGTAGTTTTCAGATCCGAAGCGCGATACCTCCTTGCGCCTCGCGCCTCGCGCTTCGCGCTCGTTAACCCACATCGGTGCATCAGATGCCGATGTTTGGAGCGCGTAATTTCTCCTCTTCTGTCATTAAAGGAGCTTTAAGTCGCAACGAGCGGCCGAGCCGCGATTCAAGTTTCACGATTAGGCTTAATCACGTACCAATCGAACCCTAACCAGGCTGGGTTGCGGCTAGACGAAACTTCCGTTCGGTCATTGCAACCCCGATCGATTAATAGGCTTGGGCTATTCACGGGATAGGTATGCGCTTACAATTAACAACAGGATCACGTGACCGCGCGCTAATTGTCATATATAAATAGACGTTTTAAACAACAAGAGAGCAATCGACCGATGAAACTATATACATTCAAATCGAACTTCCATTTGAATCGTAATTGCGAAATTGATGTTATTAAAGGTTAAAAGAGGGAAAGAGAAAGAGAGGAGGAGAATGAGAGAGAGATAATTAATAATCTATTATTTTGTGTGCGTAATAGTATACAATTCCGCATAGAAAACAAGATACGAAATTGTCTATGTGAACAGTATGACACGATACGATAATACGGTACCAATAACGCGTTAAACGTCCAATTACAAGCCTTTCAACAAATGTCGAAATGCTCGCGTACGGTCGTAACCGTTGCGTGCGCGAGGATGTAGTCGGTATTTTTATTGGTCTTCTAAGTACAGGGCAATCCGCGCGCGCTCGCTGCGGGGATGTTGGGGTCTCGAAGCAGTTCAAATATTACGGGTGAAAACACCCGGAGCACGAGGTTCTTCGGTTGTGTGCTCGGTTCTTAAACCCGGCATCGAAGTCACTAAGCTCGGCGAGGACCGCAAAGACAATATTATCTCGGGGAAGTCCTCGCGATGTTGTCCCGCTTAGCCCTCGAGCTATTTCGATATACGTACGCTCTTCTTGATTTTTCGCAAAACTGCTGGAGGATGTGTTCCTCCATTAATGGAGAAACACTGTCTTCGATTTTTTAAATTGCACCTAGTTGGTTGCCACATCACGCGTTTACTAGCCGCCTTTACGTGCTCCGCAGCCTTTTAATGCGATGGTGGATGGTCACTTATTAAATAAACAGGAGTGTTATTGAATGTGCATCTTCCTCAAGATGTTATTTCCGATATAAGTCCCAAAAAAAAAAACACGAAACGCATTAATGTTTTATCTCTCTTTCTCTCTCTCTCTCTCGATTACGATTTATTTAAATAATATATATTTTCTATATATCTTTTAGTAGCAATAAAAATAATATGTATCGAGTATTTTGTGCGTTCAGTGAATGCACACAGCAAAGTTTCAGCTCATACTCTTGATAGTCTTGATATGTATATTTCTAATAAATCATCGAATTCGTTAGATTCGCGTGGATTCGCCGATGTGAAATTGGAGGTGCTTATTCACGCATACGAGGGCGAACGTTGAACTTAACGAGGCACAGTAGGTAGATGTTCGCAGAAGAAGAATCCATGTAACACGCTATCGATCATAAAAATTGCAGGTTCACAGAGATATCGTTCGCGTCGGCATCGCGGCAACCGGAACCGAGGAGAAGGGACAGCGAAACGACGTCCGGGTCCGAGATAGATGGCGGATGTAAAGCCAGATTTAATAAGCTGTAAACCGATTTATACTTTCGCGTGGCGCCGGCGCCGCGGCGTGGTAAAATCCGCTGCGAAATAATCACGCGGCCATTAAATATTTCAGGCTATTCTGACCGCGGGCATAGCTTGAGTGGCGTGTATGCCGCGTGCATCATTTATGTACGGCACATGCAATACACCAGGCGTTTATAATCCTCACCGCGCGCGGAGCTTAGTGGAGAGTACAGTAATGCGCCCATTACTTACACACGCCGTGATCATATCGCGCTTTCCATTCGATACCGACATAGAGAAAGGAAGAGGAAACCGTTGTACGCGTAACACGTGAACGCGATCATTTTTATATCTCTTTCGCAATCCGACGCAATCCCGCGTCGTGAATTCCAGAGATAAATGCAATAATACGCCCTTCTGCTAATGGCGCAGATGATTATCCCTCGGAATCTTTTCATAACGGTACTTTGAAGATCGCGTCGATATTTAATTAAATCCGTGAACACGCCTTCTTTTGTTTCAGGAGAACGTCGTCCTGGGGATTCAAAGAAGAAAATTTATTCTTTCGGAATATTATACGCCCGTCTCGTATATTATATACGTATCTATTGATATTATACGTACATAAGGGACGCTAAAGGCTGCGCGCCATTAGAATTCCGGCTGTACAAGAAAGGACACTTAGAACCGAGGATCGGAGCTTGGAGCATCCTACAAATCTTACCGCGAGGGCCTCAGCTTCCGGTTTTGCGGAAACACGCTCGCAACGATGGCCGAACGATGTCGTCCAAGAGCTTTTCCACGTTCCCCCGGGCATCGCGGTATTATTGGATCGACGCATGTTCGGCGATTCTATCGGCATTTCCGTGATTATTCCGCGGCTTTCTCGATTTTCCTGTCGGGTAATAGCGCAGAAAATTCCCGCGAAATAACGAAATGGCGAGCGTCAATGTATTTCGTTAAATAAGCGAAATATTTTAGAGGCATCGAGTTCGTGTGCGAATGCACAGTTCGGCAAAATGTTATCTTTTTATTGTCATGCACTAAACTTGTAATTCTCTCTTCGATGATGCTCTTCATAAAATTAATAAAATGGAAAAAAAATATTACACTATTATTAATCCATCGTTTTAGTCTTTCTTTCATACAACCTTCTTATATAGTCAATTTTCTTAGCTTTTGTGTGTAATTAATCAATAATAATTTGTGTGTAAGATATTTATGAGTTTAATGAAAGTCTACTGACTGCAATATCGCAAAAATTGGATGTTACAGTTGTTGATTATGGAATAATATTGTTTCTTCATTTTAATAGGCTTTTCTGTAGGTAATATCGTGACTCAAATCTTCCCTTTATTCACTATCTCACCGCAGCACGCGCTAATATAATCCAATACTTGGCGCCGACTTTCCGCAGAGTTCTTAATTGCGAATGGAGCTAATGAAGACAGCGGAGAAGCGTTAATCGGTGCCACTTTATATATACATAGTATATCAATTTATCTTAATAAAAACTTCCTAGCATGGTTAAGAGAACAGATCGATTTAATGATTAACGTAATCACATTACTTTACTCGGAACACAATTAAAAATTTAAATCCTTAATAATGTAACGCAATTTAAAGCTTAAACTAACAAGAATTGGATATTATTTCAGAGGAGCAATGTTAATTTAATGCGATATTGCCGATATTGCCGATCAAATCAAATTTTAACCATGCTATCGAACGCATCATTTTTTAAATAAATTATCATGAAAATAAAAAGTACGCCGCGCGAAATTTTTCCTTTTGGCAAAACAATTGAGGACTTTTTTCAAGTTGGACACCCGACCATTCCCAAGTTTCCGGTAGTCGCGAAACTTATTTACCTTCGGTTTTAACGGGCAGTCAAGACGTTATTAGGGAATTCGTAGCTTCTTCGCTGACGACTTACGGCAATATTCCTCGTGAGTTAACTCGGCAGTTAGCGCAGACTACCCGCCAAAAAGTTGCGGAGCTCGGACGGAGTTGATGAAGAGGGCGGGGGAACGTTGGCCGAAGCTACCTACGCGACAGTTTGCTTATTTAAGCTTAGCTTAAGCAAAGCTCCCGAGTTACCGCGGAATGAGCGAAGGAGGAAGCTTGGAGATAGACAGAGAGAGAGAGAGAGAGAGAGAGAAATAGTTTGACAACAAGTGCGTATAGTAGTAGATCGAAAACTTTCGATTCACCAATAACCGCCGCAATCTTACTTGCGTGCTTAATCATACATAATCACGAATGTACACAATCTGATATCGAAATTTTTCTACTAGATAATCAAGAAGGTTCGTGCAATATCAAATATTAAACGATAATAATGTTGGAAGGATTTACAAAATCTATCTATACTTTCGACACCAACTGGCTGACTTATCCTTTTTTCGCGATTAATTCTTACAAATATATTTCTAACAAGATAATGCAAGCTATCCTGGTTGCCTAATCAGAGAGAATTCCAGTTAAGTGAGCCTTCTAAGAAATAAAATCACAGGGATAAATTCAGCGATTTTAGGTACATTCCTCCCTCTCCCGTTCTCTCTCTCTCTCTCTCTCTTTCTCTCTCTCTGTCATTTTCGTTAGATTCTATAATCTGTTAATTATTTTTTTTCTTTTGTAATATTATATTGCGTTTTTTATTACTTAAATGTAGCAAATTCTTCAGATAAATTTCTGTCATTAATTAAAATTCATGGTTTTTATTAGGACGAGCAAATTACAGAATATTATTTCTTTGCACAAAACAAAGAGATTGCGTCAAAAGATTGATTAATTTCGAAGTCGTATGAAAACATTTGATTTTATAAGAAAACGTTGCAAAGAGTGATTATCATTTTCGACTTGACTTTTGAAAATGTAAGAATCCTCCAAAACTCATATTTTAGAAATACTTATATTTTTATAACTTTTGTTTTTCTAATAAAAATTTACAAAGTCAATTTTTTGGTTACAAAGTCATTTTAATCTATCTAACTCTTCTAAATTTAGCTACTGAAATGTGGACCCGCGAAACGGAAGGTACGCGATCAAATTTCCGTTGTCACGTTGACGCGGAAACGGCCGGTATTGACGTGGCTTCCGCGGTTTTTCTCGCGAGCAGTCGTCGCGACAGTTACAGCGGACAAAAGAAGAAAACGCGAAGGGGTTGAAAAGGAGGTAGGGCTGCGATCTTGGAAATTCTCCCCCTCTTTTTATCGGGTCGCCTCGCGCTTTGCGCTTTCAGCGTCGACTGTAATCTGCCCGGGGTGAATTCAGAGAAGCCGCTGCGCGACGTTCTCCTGGAACGTACTGAAAAAGAACATGTACGAGCACGGCGTCGACCGGTGTCGGTTTTCCGCGTGCAGCCTCCAAGTAGCTGCCAGTAGCGACGCGACGCGTCTTTAGCCCTTCCTTCGTGAGCCTTTGACGTCCGTGTATTTCCGCGTCGTAACCGCGCGCTCGTAGCATCGCTATTTCTTCTTGACGTAAGATGGGATTTGCCGTATTCAAGCACGGGAGGGTGCCTTTTAGATCTTTTCTTTTATTCTTTCTCTCTTTCTTTCTTTCTCCGTTTCTCTGGTCCTTTTCCCTTCGCCGTCCTACCGCGACGCCGCGACGTTTGCGCGAGGAAATTACCGCGTGTTTTTTATCCCGCGCTTCTTACGCGTAATTCCTCCTTTCATTAGGCCTCTGTCACGTTGTTGACGAAAAATCGCGAAGCCGATAAGAGCGACGGCGCGTGGAATGTTACTGACACTCTGATTTATATGCCATTAACTATTGTATTTAAAATCGTGCGTATCTGACAGCTGCAGCACATACAAATATGTAAAACAAAATCGCCGGAGTTGAGATAAATGAGAAAGTTATCCCACGAGACGGGAGAACATCGGTCGAGGATGCTTTATTCCTGCATCGCGGACTGCCGGTGTATATTAACCAATAAACAGGGTCGCGGATTTAACGGCGGCGATATCCTTCTTTTACGCGACACTTCCATTTTTCCTGACCGAGCATTAAAGGCGAGCGACGCGTGTATAAAACCGATGGATATTAGCGGCGCGTCGCACGCCCTGAGTTATGCGTTCCTAGTAAAAAATAGGGAGAGGCGGGATGTAAAAAAAATGGAAAGACGGAGGGAGAGAAGAGAAGGCTATTTGTACAGGCTGCCCCGCATAACGACGGGCTCGCCTTAACGCTCATAACGTGCAGGTGCATGGAGAACGACTGTCCTGGAAAATACGAGCTGGGCGTGATGCCCTGTGCGGATTATATATATATATATATATATATATAGAGAGAGAGAGAGAGAGAGAGAGATCCTCGGAACAAAAATTTGATTCATCTAATTGTAAGTGAAATACATTGAGAGTACAGCTATAAAATAAATTCATGCCTTCATACATTCATATATTCGTGTACTCATTATATGAGCAATACGTTGTCCGAGTTTAATAATTCGTAAAATATAATCCAGTTACGATCTTTAAGCGCCGATAAGACCGATAAGACAGCGACTTATTAAGCATGAAACAACAATAAGGATTATTCCTGAATGCAGGAGGCTTGGAATGACAAAGCAGTGTTTGCGCGCCAATGCGCTACGTGCGATAATTTCGAAATTTGCGCTTCGGCGTGCGTGCTTACGTAACATCTGAACGCTGCGTCAAGGCGACAAAGCTGATAATTGCATTGTTAACTGCCAGGATAACAATCAATCCAGTTTGCGTTTCGTCGGTCATTATTTTATCCGTTAATGGCAAAGTCGACCCGCGCGAATATTTTAACCATGCCGAGAGACCGAGGCTGCCCGGAGAAATTCTGGCAGTATTCTCCGGTGTCTAACTACCATGAAATTGTGTGCATAAGTTAATTAACGAGCGTATCACGCGAACGAGGACGAAAAGTATGCCAACCATAGCTAATAATAATCGTTTTGCGAGCGATGCATCAGCTCGCAACAATGCTCTTTAGATATGTTCTTGCAGCAGGAAATTGTGCCGTTTCTTAACATTATGGCAAAACAACAATACACAATGAGATACAAATGGAAACACAAATGATACAGAATGCTACCGCGTCTCGCTAATTGATATGCATAACATACGTGAACTATTTACGGCAGAATAGTAGCATAAGAAAGAAAATCCGATACAGCATCTCAGTAAGAAAAGATCGTATTATTTTTTACACATTTTTTGACATTCACAGATCGTTTTTTTCCTGTTACTTATATTTTTCTCTATAAATCCGAGAAAATCCATTCCATCGTAACTAACGAAATCATTTTTACAACAAAATCAATCGCGATAAACTTATCAACAGCGTTCATATGCAATATATTTGTCTAAAAAAACCTTGAAATTCTTATCGTTACTGCGTCATTAGCTGCGCGTTCAATTAGGATAATTAATTCGACACTCCATTTTCATATTCTATTTGCATATTTAAAAAATAGCAATGGGCTTTACGTTTTTCAAATTAATAACGCAAGTAGCTACCGTCATAGAATTTTCGTTATTATATTATATTATACTTACTATATTATTAATACTAAATTATAATTACACAGTTATAAATATAACTATCAATTTGCACTTTCTATTTGTATTTATTTATAAAACTAAACTTCTCACATTAAATAATTACGATATTAAAATACCTAAACAAATTCTTTTCGTAAATAAAGAGATTCCAAAAGTATCTTGTGCTATAGATTTTCAATGTATTCTGTGATAGCGTAATGGTGACGAGATCTCGTGCACGATTATGGTATAATACATTCCATTTAGGTGAACCGTGCGGTATCCCTTATAAATTGAATAGCCAAACACGTTTATCCCATATATGATGTTAAACCTATGCAGAACTTATACAATTATTAAATATGCAGATTCTCTCTACTCATCGAATGAATCCAATTACCGCATACTGGATTAATAAACCAGCAAAAAACATAAGCAATTAGCAGGATATCCGTTACGTTAAGTTATCCGTTATCATTTAAAAGTTGAATAATTCTTAAGTTTCGATTACTCTTGCAATGTTTATCATTCTATTTAATAAAAGGCATTTATTTTCTGCATCCC